CAGAATTATATACTCTAATTTTCAGGACTGGGCATCTTCTTATTTCCAATTGGACAACAGCTCTTGGATCTGCTTCCCTTCCAGCTGAGTGTATCAGAGAAGGTGAGTCCTGTGCCTTTTGTGGCTCCTTCAATGAAGAATACAATGCTGAAGACAGAGCTCTGTGGCCCAGGTGTAACGACCTTACCCAGGCTCATAGACAAATGTATATAAGCATGCCCGCCAAACACTTTCACACAACATCCTGAGCTAGGCGCTGGGAATCAGCAATGAGTAAAACAGAGCTCCTGTTTTTGAGGAGTTTATGGTTTCCTGGGGCTGCAGATTGTAATCAAACCATTCTCCACTTCTCCATACTGCACATACAGAGACTTAGTGCCCACACATATGACACAGTCCCCTTAACCACACAGGGTCACGTGAGCATCATTTGGGAAATCATGTAAGTGGGTTCCAATCCTCAGAATACCTGCCAGGGCTTCTCCCATGTGTCCGCTGTCATATTGCCCACAGCAGCCTATGTATTCGTGAACTTTCTCTCTCATTGCCCCCTGCCCGCAGCTGACAGAACTGCTCAAATTATACCCAACACGACCTCAGCTCACAGTGCCCACCACAAGAGTATCATGCCCAGAACCTGCCCTGACTCTGAAGGCTTCCTTCCCTCAGGTTCCAGCTATGAGTACCACAGTAGCAGGCAGGAGCCTCCACCCCAAACTGTCTCTGGACCTGAGCAGGCCCAGCTCCTGTCCTCTGTCTCCTGCTCCAACACCGACTTCTTCCCAACAGTAAGCCTTTATTTGGTTTGCCTGGAATCACCACACATCCCCCAACACCCAATACTCACACACATGTAAGCACATGTATTACACATACCACAACCCCATATACATCACACATACACACCACACTCACACACACTACCACATCACACAAACCTTACCACATACATACCACACACATACAACATCCCACACTCACACACACCATACTCACATACATCACATCACACACACACTTCACACACACCATATCCCCATGCCACATCACACACACCTCATTACATATATATCATACCCACACACACACACAATACTCACACGCCACACCCCTGCACATCACACACACACCATTCACACATACCATACTCCCACACATACCACATCATACACACTCATACATACCACACTACACTCACACATACACCACATATACCACCATACCATACACACTACACATCACACACCACACCACATGCCCCTATACACCACACCCCCACCACAACACCCAGAAACATTTATTCTTCCAAAAAAGATGTGCCCCTGCCCCTTTGTGTCATGCACTACTCTAGATACTTGGGACACAGTGAGGAACAGGGAAGGTGCAAGCCCTGTTCCCTTGTACCTCAGAGTGGTTGAGACACACACCTCTTTCAAATAGCTACACACAGACTTCTGGTCAAGATGGTGGCGTAGTAAATGTGGTATTGCCTCCTCCCACAACCACATCAAAATTACAACTAAACTACAGAACAACCATCATTTAGAACCTCCTGAAATTGAGCTGAATGGAAGTCCTACAACTACAGAATTAAAGAAGAAACCACATCAAGACTGGTAGGAGGGGCAGAGGCGTAGAGGGCCTGGTCCCACACCCACATGTGGTGGATAAAAGTCAGGAGGGACACCTCGGCTGGGAAGGTCTTCCCCGAGGAGTGAGGGGTCCCTGTCCCACACCAGGTGCCCAGGTAAGGGTTCCAGTACCAGAAAGAGAAGTCCCCATAACTTCTGGCTGTAAAAACCAGCAGGAAATGAAGCTGAGGGAGGCTGCAGCTTCTGGATCCCCAGGCAGTTCCTCTTAAAGGGTCTGCACATGGACTTACTCAGACTTGCTCCCTCTAAGCTCGGAGGGGAGGCAGCTTGAGAGGCACATGAGACATACAGGGAAGAACTGAGTTATTTGGCCTCGGGAGAAGTGCTGGAAAGGCGGCTTTCTCCTAGATAGACGTGCTAGTGGAAGCTGATGTTCTTTTGGTGAGGCCTTCCCTGGGGCAGCAGATGACCACTTTATCTGGGACTCCAGAAACCTGGCTCACACTGTTTGCCCCACCCTGGTGATTCCCTGAGGCCCTGCCCCACCCAACTTTCGGTCCCACCCAAGCTGTTTCCAAAGGCTTTACCATAGAATTGGCCTGTCTTGGATCCTGCTTCAGAGTTTCCTAACATCTCTCAAACAAGCAGCATCTGCTCTCAGCAAGCCCTATACCTCTTATTAAGTGGCCCCAGGCCTGGCACTAGAAGCAGCCAGCCTTGGTTCACAGCTTGGCTTTTCCTGGGCACCTCCAAGCCCAGCACAAGAAGCAGCCATTGGCAAATCACTTTGTAGCTTATGCCGGGCGGCCCTGGATAGAACACAGGCAGTGGCTGACCTTGTCCCAGAGCCAGCACACCCAGTGGACAGCTTCAGATCACATGGAAACACCACCAACCAACCACCTCCACAAGTGACACACTCAGTGAGCAGACTCAGTGGGTACCAGAGCCCTGGTGAAGTAAGTCTTGCTCTGTGTGGTGGGCCCCTACACAGCTGATCCTCCAAGGTAGTCAGAGGCCAGTGGTCAGTGGGTACAGCCAGTCCTTGCACCTGATCAGCCTGAGTAAATCCCTCCCACTGATGTGCCAACAGCAATCAAGACTAAATTATAACACGAGGGGTGCACTGTGAGGAACCAGCTAGGGTGATCAGGGATCCTGTTCCACTGGATTCTACAGAACACCTACAACAATAGGTCACCCTACAAAGCCTAGGAGACATAGCAGCTGTACCTAATATATAGAAACAATCACAGGGAAGCAGCCAAAATGAGGAGACAAAGAAATATATCCCAAATGGAAAAAAAAGAACAAAACTCCAGGAAAAGAATTAAATAAAATGGAGATAAGCAATCTAACTGATGCAGAGTTCAAAACACTGGTTATAAGGTTGTTCAAGGAACTTAAGGAGACCTCCAAGGAACTTAGTGAGAACATCAACAACATAACGAAGGACCAGTCAGATATGAAGGATGCACTAACTGAAATAAAGAATAATTTAGAGGGAATCAATGGTAGGGTAGATAAAGCCAAGAATCAAACCATCAATTTGGAATATAAGGAAGCAAAAAACACCCAATCAGAACAGCAAAAAAGAAAAAGAATTTAAAAATACGAGGATAGTTAAGGAGCCTCTGGGACAAATTCAAGCATGCCAACATTTGCATCATAGGGGTGCCAGAAGGAGAAGAGAAAGAACAAGAAATTGAAAACCTATTTGAAAAAATAATGACAGAAAAATTCCCTAATTTGGTGAAAAGAAAAGACATACAAATCCAGGAAGCACAGAGCATCCAAACAAAATGAACCCAAAGAGAACCACATCAAGACACATCATCATCAAAATGCCAAAGGTTAAATACAAAGAGAGAATTTTAAAAGCAGCAAAAGAAAAGCAGTTCGTTACCTACAAAGGAGCCCCCATAAGATTGTTAGCTGATTTCTCAAAAGAAACTTCGCAGGCCAGAAAGGAGTGGCAAGAGATATTCAAGGTGATGAAAAGGAACGACCTACAACCAAGACTACTCCATCCTGCAAAGCTATCATTTAGAATGAATGGACATGTAAAGAATTTCCCAGACAAGAAAAAGCTAAAAAAGTTCATCACCACCAAATCAGTATTATATAAAATGTTAAAGGGTTTTCTTGAAGGAGAAGAACAAAAATATGAACAAAGTGGTAATTAATACATATCTATCAACAATTGAATCTACAAACAACATGAGCAAGCAGAACAGAAACAAACTCATAGATACAGAGAACTTTGTGTTGCTTGCCAGATGGGCAGGGGCTGGGGGAATGGGTGAAAAAGATGCAGGAATTAAGAAATACAAATTGGCTGTTAGACTGATGAACCTCAAAGGGAATGGGGGAGGGAGGGCAGGATGAGATAAACCAAAGAACTTTTATGCATATATGCGTAAACAATGAACACTGACAAGAGTGTGGGGAATGCTGGAGGAGGGTAGAATTGGGGAGGAGGGGGGTCAATGGGGAAAATAAGGGGGGACATCTGTAATACATTCAACAATAAAGATGAATTAAAAAAACAAAAACAAATAGCTACACAGATAAATACATAAGAGTCATGAAAAAACAGGTGAAGGGGCTGTGAGAAAGCAGAGCAGGCAGATGAGGAGCTAATCAAAATAGGGATGTCAGAGAAGGACTCTTTGAAGAAGCACTGTTTGAGCAAAGACCTGAAGATGAGTGGATGTTCACTTGGGAGAGCAGCATGCGTGAAGGCCCTGAGACTCTCAGGCATTTGGTGCAATGAAGGAACAGAGGGAAAGCTGGTGTGGGTGCACTTCAGAGAGTGAGGGTTGGTGGGACGTGAGACCAGGAAGGTGGGCAGGACTGGGTCACCAGGGCTGTATGATCAGGATGAAGCCTGAGGTCTTTATGCTTAGAGCAAAGAGTGGCACTGAAAACTTAAAGCAAGGTAGATAACATGATACAATGTGGGCTTTGGCACAACAACAACACAAGAGGCATCACTGTGAGAAGTAGGAATTGGGGTGGAAGTCTGGTGAAGATGATGTGGCTGTACTGGTGTTAATATTGAGTGTGGAGGCACAGGGTTTAATCGAGATGGATTCATGGTCATGGCATTAATCATCCAAGACGATACAGATGAGACATCATAAGCCACCTGCAGAACCACCCTTGCGTTCCCCCCACTCCTCTCAACAGCCTGGATTTGGGAGGCAGTGCCTGCAGGCCCCAAGGCACAGACCCCTCTGTACATCCACTTGTTCCACAGCCAGCGCTGCGCAGGTCCATTTAGAAACTCGCCACCCCCAAAGCTGTGCTAGCTGTTTCCATGAACTCACTTGGCATGAACTCATTTATTAACCATCAGCCTGCAGTTGTGGCCAGGTGGCAGGTGAATGGCCTAGGTGGCCACAATTACTTGTTGTCCACTCGTTTGAGCTGTTCCTTGCCATTAATGGTCAACGACTTGAGCTGCCCATCCTCTTCCACTTCCACACGCTCCTGCCCATTCTCCACGATGTGCTTGGTGGTGACCCTGTGTCCGTTAACCATCTCGGTGGATGACATCACTGACTTGAACCCCAAGCTGCCAGAGCCAGAGCCCCCAAAGGAGGTGGATGAGAAGGTGGTGCGGCTAGCACTGCGACCCATTGTGTCGAGAGTAGAGAAAGCCTCCATAAAGGCTGGGAACTCACCAAAACCAGCTGAGAAGGCACCCCTCAGGCCGTGGCCCTGGCCAGCACGGTCACTGTTGAAGGGGGTGACCCAGAAGTCAAAGGAGAAAGGGTCCAGGCCCCCGAAAAACTCACGGAAGATGTCCTCGGGATTCCGGAAGGTGTAACCGGTGTCAAAAGGACTGTTATAAGGGGTGCTTGCCCCGCCACCAGCCCCCCAGCTGTCACAGCCAGCCCGGTCATATACAGAGCGCTTTTTAGAGTCAGACAGGACCTCATAGGCCTCAGACACTTGCTTGAACTTCTTCTCAGCTTCCTCCTTGTTATCAGGGTTCTTGTCAGGGTGCCAACGCAAGGCCAGTTTTCGGTAGGCCTTCTTGATGTCCTCCGGGGAGGCACTCGACTGTACCCCTAGCACTTCGTAATAGTTTGCCATGCTGAAGAGGGAGTAGGGGCAGAGGTGGGTGAGAAGATGAAGTGGGCACAGGGGCCCAGGTGATTGGGGTAGGTATGAAGGAGGCAGCAACTAACGTGGGTCCCTCAGAAGAGGTTCTTGCTGGACTCTGCTGGCTCTGGGCGTGGCTCTGCCTGGCGAGTTTATCTTTTCATAGTACCAACTTTCAGGGATAGGTGGACACCTCCACTGAAAGGGGTGGGGGAAGGGGAGGGACACTGCCACTGTGGGGCCAGGCTTGCGGGGAGGGGGGAGGTTGGCGGGTTTCCCTGCAGAGCTAAGACCAAGCCCTTTATGACATCAGCCCCTGGGTGGGGCAAATCCACCCAGAGCTCTGGATCTGGCAACACCTGGCATGTTGGCCTGCCCCTGTGAACAAGGCTGGCTACCACAACAGGCTGAGACTCAGAGCTAGGTACTCATGGGACTCTTGGCTGAGCCTTGGGATCAGCCATGGGATCTGGGCCCACCTAAGCAATAAAGATCAGTGATGATGGCCAAGGGAAGGGAGTGGGGGCTTCCTGGGATATATCCAATGGCTGAGTTCTTGGTATGGATTGAGGGGGCCCAAGGTGGAGGTTCAGGCAGGATGTGAGCAGGAGTTTATTCTTCTTATACCTCATTGTCTCATCAGATCCTCAGAGGTAAGCCCCACAAAGGCAGGGGTTTTTATCAGTATCTAGGACAGTGCTTGGCAATCAGTTCAACCTGTTGAACAAATGAAGCTCAGAGACATGCAGCAATATACTCAGGAGCAAGTCAGTGAGAGAGAGGAAAATACAAACCCAGGGTTGTGTCAGACTCTCTTGGACAGCAAATTAAAAAAAGCATTTTACTCACTTCTGGGGGGAAAAGAGAGGGGGGTGATTTGAAAATTATTAGAATAGAGAGTGTAGTGTGGACAGGGACAAAAAAACATATGTCCCTGTCATTATTCACAGAATCCGTCAATATGACCTTATTTGGAAAAGGGTCTTTGCAGATGTAATTAAATAAGACATCTCAAGATGTGATCATCCTGGATAATCTGGGTTGGCTTTAAATCTAATGACAAGTACCCTTATAAGAGACACACAGAGAGGCACACCTAAGGATATGTTTTTCATTTATTATAGAGAAAAAGGAAGGAAGAGAGGGGGAGAGAGAAAGAGTAAAAATAGATGTGAGAGAGAAATATCTGTTACCTCCTGTATGCAGCTCGACTGGGTATCATAAGGCACAGTACTCTTATAGGGAAGAGGGAGTTGTCAATATTGCAGTATGCTACAGGTGATAATGGGAGTGTAGAGGTGTGGTAATGATGGCCCTAGTAGAAATGGTGGTGGTACTGCCAGTTATGGGAATGGAAGTGGTGAAGCATAGTGATAGTTAGGTAGCATAACTGTGATAGTAATGAAAAGTGATGGAGATGCTGAAAGTGGTGGGAATAATATACTGGTGGAAATGACTGCCATAGTCATAGTGCTGATAGTGGGGGTAAGGAAATTGGAAATGTGGTGCATAGCAGAGAATTCTGGGAGATTTCCCAGAATTCCTTTATTCATATGATTCCAAGTTAGAGTCTTCCAATTCATGAAATTTGGAAAGTGGAAGAGAAAGAGGCAATTGCAGGCAGATAACAACACAGAGGTTCATAGCAGCTTTGGGGAAATTTTCTGAGAATCCCCTGCTTCAGAGCTGCAAGCTGAGATATTCAGGGGGTAGCTTCTTAGAATATAATGAGATTTCTAGCAGCTTCCAGGAGAGCTCTTGAGATCTACTGACTTTGGAGCTGCAGACTGAGACCATCAGCAATGACTTGCTTCCCTGATCTTTACTCCCCTGGGTCTCCCAATGGTTGTGAAACTTTATTAAATGTCTTCATACCTGCTATACAGTCAGTAACTATGTACATGTGGTCATGATGACAGTTACTCAGATGAAGGTGGTGGATATGAGCATCGTGATAATGGTGATGATGCAAGTGGTGATGGTGTGCTGTCAGAGGTGCTGGTGGTGATGATGGTGGTCATGGTTGAGCTAGAGGTAATGGTGAGTCTAGTTGAGGTAGATATAGTAATGATGGTAGATATAGGTGGTGGTAGTGATAGAGTACATGATGATGGTCGTGATGAGAAAAGTTGTGGTAATAGTGATTTTGGTTGAGGTGGAAATGGTGGTGATACAAGTGGTGGTGGTGATCATGGTGACGATCATAACTGTGGTGGTAATGATGGTCATGTTAATAGCAATATTGGTTGAGATGAAAATGGTGGTAATGATAATGATAATGTTAGTGGTGATGACCACGATGGGTGTATTAGTGGTCATGGTAATGTGAATACTAGTTGAGGTGGACATGGTAATGCTAATGATAGTAATGAAGCAGGTAGTAGAGATGATGATGGTGGTAGAGATGGTGGTAATAATGGAGGTAATGTCAGAGATTGGATAATGATAGTAGTGATAGAAGTAATGGTGATGACAGTTGTTGTGGCGATGCTAGTAATAGTGATGGTAATGGTCATAATGATGGTCCTAGTAATGGTGATACTGATTTAGGTAATGGAGGTGACATCAGAGGCAGGATGTGATAAGGGTGATGAAAGTGATAGTATGATAATAATGATATGAGCAATGTGATAGTGATACCAATTGAATTCATAGTAATGGTGATGGTAATAATGATGGTGGTGATGATGGAGGTAGGGATGATGGTGTGTTTATGGTGATGGTGATACGGTGATGTAATATTGGTAAAGGGGTTGATGACAACTGCATCACTACAAGAAGTCTGAGGGTGCCGTAAAAGTATAATTGGGACAGTATATGGATGGTTGCAGCAATGTTAATAGACAAGAAATTCAGAATGATGAGGTGCCCAAGAATCCTATGGATGTTTCCTCCTACCCAGGATCCCCTTGCCTGAGACTCTGGTGCTAACCTCCATTGTCCTCCAAGGAGGAATTTTTTTTTTTTTTTTAATCCTCACCCGAGGATATTTTTCCATTTTTTGTACAGATAGAATGGGAGGGAGAGAGAGGAAGGGAGAGAGAGAGAGAAACATCGACGTGAAGGGACACATCGAGTGGCTGCCACCCGCACGACCAACCAGGGCCGGGGACAAACTGCAACCGAAGTACATGCCCTTAGCGGGAACCGAACCTGGGTCTCTCTGGACCGCAGGCCGACGCTCTAACCGCTGAGCCAAACTGGCCAGGGCAGGAGGAATTTTCTTCTGGCCCTTGCTGTCAAGAGCCCCTTAGCAGGTTTCCTACCCTGTTCCATGCCCAGGCCCTGTGCTCAGCCTGAGGTCTCATCCTGGGATAGATCTGTAAGAGGCATCTGGGATGGAGACATCGCTGAAGAGCCTATCATATCCCTTGGGTCAGAGGTGTCTCAGAGCACAGCTCCTCATTGCTAAAGGTGCCCTGGAGATAGAAAGCCCTCCCAGTTTCCTGGAGGTGGGTGTTGGGGCAAGCTCCCCATAAAGAAACATGTGGAACCTGGTGGCAGCATACAGAGGTGATTTCCTCTTTCTCAAAGATGGAAGAATAGGGAAGACCAGGCATGAGCATTAGCTTGGGCCCCCACACTTGACTATCACAGGCTGATAGGTCATTTTCCCTCTCTGAGCTTCTCTGTCCTTATTTGTCAATGGCATGGTGAAACTCCTCCTTTTCTGGACTTCCTTGCCTCTGGGGAGCCAGCCTAGCATCCCTCTGACTTTTGAGGTCCCTAAAGCCAACCCCCTGAGCCAAGGCCTGATAAAAGAGGACCTTGAGTGACCAGGTGATCTCAGGCAGAGCCTGACTTTGTGCACAGGGAGACCCAGAGAGGGCAAGGCACAACCAAGGTCACACAGCAGTCGAGGAACCCTCCCCCAGGGCAAAGTGATAGAGGCCAATTAGGTAACCAATTGGTATTCTGAGCAGCCAGAGGCCCCTCTGTCTTTGTAATTAATGGAGTGGCTTTTTAAAAAGATTCTAATCACCCCCAGATTTCTATCTACTTATCACTAGTATTCCTAATTAGATGATTCTGGCAGTCACTGGGCTAATTCCCTCCAGCCCAATGCAGCCTTGCCCAGCCTAGAGTGGTTCCCTCAACCTCCCCCCCCCCTCCCCTACACACACATATGGGCAGTTCAGGCCTTCTCTCCCCTCAGGGCCCCTGGTTCTCTAACTGCATTACCTTCAGGATCCATGGGCGACAGCAATGAATGGACTGGATGGACAATGAAAGGTGAGTGAAGAGATTGAATGAACAGCTATGAGAGTGCATGGATAGATAGATAGACAGATGGAGAGGTTAAGAGCTCAACTTGTCCAGTCAGACACCTGTGTTATTTATTAGCTGTGTGTTCTTAGTGAAGTCACTTACACTCTCTGTGCCATTTCTTCATCTCATTGTTAAAATGAGGGTAGTAATAGTATTTTCCTCATAAGATTGACTTGAGGACAACTTACTTGCTAGCATAATGATGACAATGTTGATAATGGTGCATAGACAATGGATGGAAAGACAGACTGACAGATGAGGGAAAGGAGCAATAGTAGATGAACAGGCCCATGGAAGGATGGGCACAAGGGTAGATGCACATACAAATTGGTCAGGTGGTGGGTTACTAAACAAGTGGAAGGGACAGTGAGTGCTCAGTGCCAGACAGGAAGGTGTGGGAAGTGGAGGGCAATCCTTCTATTTTTTTAGAGATGATAGGATAATGTCAGGTCAGGTCTCAATACAGACCTGGCTCAGCTTTGCTTTCCCTCCCTAGGATCACCAGGAAAGCTTCCTGCTCGGTCCTCCTAGCTAGTGGTGATGGCCACGCATTGGGTCCCTGGGATCCTTCCCTCAATCTTAACCCAACTAACAATCTTCCTGGTGGAGACCCATGTGGTTTCTGGAAGTTCAAATCTAGCCTCAAGTAGGACTTCACAGCTTGAGTTAAGGCATCAGCTGTGGGACCCTTTCCCCCTACCTGAGTTCCAAAATACACCAGC